ATTTTAAAAGGCTTGGCCGGGCATGGTGACTCACGCCTGTAATCCTAGTATTTTGGGAAGCTGAGGGGGGCAGATTACTTGAGGCCAGGAATTTGAGACCAGCCTGGTCAACATGTCAAAACCCCATCTCTACTAAAAATACAAAAATAAGCTGGGCATGTTAGCAGGTGTAATCCCAGCTACTGGGGAGGCTGAGGCACAAGAATTGCTTGAAGCCAGGAGGCGGAGGTTGCAGTGAGCCGAGATCGTGCCACTGCATTCCAGCCTGGCACACAGAGCGAGACTCCATCTCTAAATAAATAAATAAATGGTTTGCCCTGTTCTGAGACTGAAACTGTGTTTTGATGTCAATTTTGCGAACAGTTTATTCTGGAGTGGCCAAGGGCATACTGCATTCTTATGGGTTAAATGTTCTCTCAACATAAAAAGAAAAGAAAAGAGAAATCACCTTAATGGAGGAATTTCTAAGGAATCTATTTCTGTGGGAATCTACTGTGTATCCCTAAATGAAGCTGAATCAGAAGAGTGGGCCATCTTTAGGCTGTATCTTTCTGACTTCCCACCAGACAACAGGAACATAAAAGCAAGAAAGAGAAAATATGGCTCATTTGCTAGAATTGGGTCACAGTTTTGCCCCGAAGTTTCACTATTCACAGTAGTTATAAGGGTGAGGAAAACAAACAAACAAACAAACTAGCGCATCAAGAGAATCAACCACTAAACTGAGCAAGAGCTCTTTCATAACTTTAAAAAAGTTATTCTATAATACTTCATATGTGTGAGGTGTACAATGAGAAAATCACTGGCTTTTAATTCCACCGGAACTCAGTTCGAATCCTGTGTAGGGGATTTACTGGTACTTATTAGTCAAGTGACTTTGTAAGAAAGTCACCCACCTTTTCTGAGCATCTGTGACATGAAGGTGGTCATTCCAAGATGAAGCCGAGATTAATTTCACCCACACACAATTCCATCTTCATAGAACAAAAGAAATGTAAACTAACAGTAACTTAAGAGAGATAGAAAGGTATTTCCTCTTCATGTGCAACGCTGGTATGGGGCCCACAGTATCAAAGAGCCAGATTCCTTCTATCTTTCTTGTCAGTTATTCTCAGCCTGGACTCCATCCTCAAAAGTACCTCATGGCCCAAGAAAGCTGCTGGGGCCCCTGCCATTGGTATGCCCTCTAAGAAGCAGGGAAGGACAACGGGAAGAGAACAAATGAGTGCATTTCTAGCTAAATCAGTTCCCTTTAAACGAGGCATTTTGAAATTTCTTCACAATGATTCCACTTGGGCAAGAAATTAGCTACTGGCCATATTTAGAAGCAATGGAGCTTGGGGAAACATAGATGTTTAACCCAAGGTGACAACGTACTCAGGTGACGAATGAGCTTTCGATTAGCAGAGAAGAGGAGAAACCGGATTAGTAGGCAAAGAGACATCTTTCTCACCAGTGTTAGAGAGTACATGATGACAATCAGAATTCCTAAATATAATGAGCCCCTAAAAAGGTGCTTGGCACATTCCTTGTGCTCAGTAAACTATACATTTGTTTTCTCTCATATAATAAAGTAAAACTGCTGAGGACTATGCTCTTAATTTTTTTTATAACTCCACAAATGTGTAGGCCAGGGTTTGTCAATCTCAGCATTACTGATATTTGGAGCCAGATAATCTTTGCTGTGGGAGGGCTTTTCTGTGCAGTACAGGTTCTTTATTAGCATCCCTGGCCTTGACCCACTAGATGCCAGTAACTCCTCACTCCCAACTGTGACAATCAAAAATATTTCCAGCTATTGGCAATTGTTCCTGGGGGAGCAAATTGCCCTCGGTTGATAACCACTGGCCTAGATCTGTGCTGGACAATAGGCACTCTTCTATATTCTCTAGGGTTGAGTGGTGCAGGGGCTAAAGACCCTTGAGCTCATAGTGCTGATTCCATTATGTCGAACCCCGCATACTCTTGAAGTCAGATGAAGCACAGAGATGAATCTCTACAGTTAAAATGTTTTCTTCCAGCCTGGCCAACATGGAGAAACCCCATCTCTACTAAAAAATACAAAAATTAGCCAGGCATGGTGGCAGGCACCTGTAATCCCAGCTACTCGGGAGGCTGAGGCAGGAGAATTGCTTGAATCCGGGAGGCAGAGGTTGCAGTGACCCAAGATTGCAGCACTGCACTCCAGCCTGGGTGACAGAACAAGACTCCATCTTGAAAAACAAACAACAACAACAACAAAGTTGGGGACAGAGCACAGGCAGACAAGAGAGAGCCAATGAGAATCAGGGTAGGGCTTTGGATTTTAGTCTGAGTGAGATGGAAATGCATCATTGGGTTTAAGGTAGACAGCAGTGTGATGGCACTTATATTTTTGAAGGGTTTTCCCAGGAGCCACGAGGAAATGTGACTGTTTGGGGTCAGAGTGGAAGCTAGGAGACCCATCGGGATGCTCTTGGATTCATCCCAGACAGAATGGCAGGTTGGAGGTGGGAAGAGTGGTTAGATGAGATCTATTCCACAGGGGTCTGAAGGAGGAGCTGACAGGCTTTGCAGATGATCACCAGAAGTGATTAAAAAGTGTGTCGTTTCTAGAAAACATTATGCAAACCTAATCTTTTAAAATATATCATCAGAAAATTATATCATTAACACTACTTCTGACTTTTCTGAGTTTTCTGACTTTTCTCTCCCGATATTTGTACAAACTGGTTTCTAGAGTTGTTGGCCTGTAAGAAACACAATGTAGAAGACAGGGATCTGTATGTCTCTACTGGTTTGTTGAGTGATCACAGAACCATCATCAATATGTACGTGACTGAATTTTCCCATCTGTAAAACTGATGACTATGTGACTACAGATTACCAGTAACCTTGTTAACCTACACGTTAAGAGAAAAAGCCCACCTAGTACTTCATGAATCCCAAAAGAAATGCAAATTGTAATTATCTGCACAGGTATCCAGACATGATAACATCCAAAGGAGACAAACTTTGATTAATAAGCAAGATTCAATCCCAAAGAGTCCCAAAGAACTGTATTATATCAAACATAAAGGATCCCAAGTTAAAGACAATCCTTAAACTTGTCAGCTTTGTAATATATTCCAGAGTTTCAGTTGGGCTTAATTGTGACTTATTGATTGATTCTTGCTTTCTGACAAAAAGGATTGCTTTCTTTCCTTGTGAAATTCAAAGTCTCTCATGGCAGCCTTGATTAATCATTTGCAAAATATGGTTTAACTATCTATGATCCCTAGTGTACAAATTTCTTTCATTGCAATAATTTTAAAGTAATTCAAATAAACCTGTTCTAATCAAATCCCTTGTAAGTCTGTAAAAGATAATTTCTTGATGGGATATGGAAAAAATGTGTGCTTAAATAAGTAGTATTACCAATGTAACAAATTATCATTCCTATAATACACAATTAATACGACATTGAACAAAAAGAATACTTAGGAAATTTAATCGACCTCATAGCATTATGTGCTTTATCTGGAATGATGGCATGAAAAAGTTATCTAAAATGCCAGTTGAAGACCAATTAATATAATCAATACCAGAAAATGTCTGGACAGAACAAATGCTTAGGACATTACATAAAAAGAGTAAGTGGACTGTAACCAGGCATTTCATTCCTGCCCAGTATCTAGACAGTCAGAGATAAGCAAAGCTTATCTTCATCAAATTATTTAACATTCACGTAGGAACTCTGTTCTATTTTATTTTATTTTATTTATTTATTTTTTTGAGACGGAGTCTTGCTTTGTCGCCCAGGCTGGAGTGCAGTGACCAGATTTCGGCTCACTGCAAGCTCCGCCTCCC